GAATGTTGGTTGTAGGAATCGCATTTCATTATAATTACAAGAGTTCGGGAGACCAGATATTAATCTGTTGAATTATTCATCTCATGAATATTCATTAGTAATTTGCATATTAATCTCAGTGTGTATTTTTGAAATCTTATTGTGTAATTAACAATTCTCAGTGTGTGTTTTTCAATTTATTTCATCTCAGTGTGTCTTTTTAAAATCTCATTGTGTAATTTTAAATTCTCAGTGTGTGCTTTACATTTTTTTAAATCTCAGTGTGTAATTTTAGAAACTCAGTGTGTAATTTCGATTTCTCAGTGTGTTATTTTAGGTTCTTAAATCTCAGTGTGATTTATTTAATTCTCAGTGTGTATTTTTTTCGAAAAAATGGTATAAACATAATTTTGACGAGAACGGCTTGCCATATTAACCTTCGTCAACTTTCAAATTTAAGAATTATACCAGTTAAAATCGAAAAGTGCTATTCATTTTGGGATGTATAAATACGCAGCCTCTGTTGTGATTACTTAACCTTCCTCAACTTTGAAATTTTAGAATTAAAACAGTTCAAATCGAACTGCTATTCATTGAGGTTGTATATCTACATAGTCTCTGTTGTAATAAATTAACTATCGTCACTTTTCAAATTTTAGAATTGTATCAGCTCATATCGCACATTAATAATCTTTTTGGATGCATATATATGCAGTCTCTGTTGTGAATACTTAACTTGCATCAACTTTGAGATTTTAAAATTTTACAAGCGTGGTTCGGTTTTTAATTTGTATAACGTTAAAGATTGTTTTAGTTAAATCAGAATGGATTGTTATGATTCATTTTAAAGCATCATAATCATACTGATGAAGGATATCTGTTATCCGAAATATTTATAGATACTTATATTTATTGTTTCCTTTATTTTAATATTGGTGTTGTTTTGTACACTTATAAAGGCGTATATATAATTCATTTATTGTGTACAGTATCGTTTCTCATAACGATCCAGTGATCTCGTAAGAAAGATCGTTGACTTATATCTAGACGTTTTATATCAATTGCCTAACAAATGGTAAAAAATATTTACAATGCGAAAAAAATAAACGCAATATTTCGCTAGACAAACTAGCTTCATCGGGCGTGCATCTATCCAGGTGAAATCGGATGCAGATAAGAAAATTTTGCAGTTCATTGTACATTAAATTTTACTGCTTAATAAATAACTTGGATGAAGTCATTTATTTAATTTACAAAATCTGTTCTTGAAGTAAGGTAAATTTCAAGGTCCATTGGTCAATATTTCAGAGCTATTAAGGACGATGCCACATAATAAAGTTAATCTTTGTCTTTCATGTACCTTTTCTCGTCTTTTTCATTTAGACCATCAGGTTCTAAAGTATGGAGCTGGTGGAACAAAAAGTTAAATTTGTCCATTGTTTCTCCCACGTACTGAATGTCACAGGTGTTACATGTTAATACATAAATTGACTTTTCAGTTTTACAGTTGGAATCAACTTTGTTTTGTAAAATAGCTGACAAATTTAATATTCGGCTAAATAACCATCGATCATGGTACAAAACCAACAAAAACTATCCCCTCACAAGACATCTTCGTTCAAAGTAACATCCTTTTGATAACGTTACTTTTCAAATTACAGAAGTGAACACTGAGTGGGACACGACGGCAAGAAGGAGAAGAGAAAACTTCTGGACCCACCAGCTCCATACTTTAGAACCTGATGGTCTAAATGAAAAAGATGAAAAAAGATACAGGAAAGATAAGGAATAATTTATTATGTAGCACCGTCCTTAATATATCTGAAATATTGGCCAATGGACGTTGCAAACTTACCATAATTCAACAACAAATTTCGTACTGAAATAGATAATCTTGAACGTCAGCCAAATTAAAAATTTATCCATTAGGCAGCAAAATTCAATGTACAACGAGTTGCAAAAATTTCTTTTGTGCATCCTGTTTCATCTAGTTTGTCTAGCGAAATATTGTGTTTATATTTATCGCATTGTAAATATTTTTAGCATTTTAATATTTACTACTTATCAGATTGCTAAAATTACATTGTAAGGCAATTTATATATATATAAATATATACAAGTCTAAATTGAAAACAACGTTCAAACCTATGATTGCGTTGGATAAAAACCGCAATTTTTATACGTGTGCATGCAAAACAAATTCTTGTTAGAGGGGTCTAAAAACAGCACAAACAACATTTTCCAAAAGACCAAAAAAGTGAAAAAGTATATATAGAAGTCTATAGAAAGGATCAACCAGCAAATTTAATATGTACCGGATCGTCTAGAATAGACGATGCTGCGCAGATAATGAAAACATTATATAAGTCTAAAGATTTACACAACGGTACTAATATAAGATGGTAATATACGAAGATGATATTATAAAATCGTGTTCACAAATATTTCAGCTTAACAAATAGCCTTCGTCAGTGTCACTCATTTTTACAATACTAATTGTTTGTGTAAAATAGCTTAATAATACAGGTAAGTTTTGGTCTATTGATTTTTTATCTAAAATCTTTAACCTCATCAAATAAAACAAAACTCAATACTCTATAGACGTGCCTGCGTATATTTACATCCCAAATTGTCAAAATGCAGTAGTATGTAAGAATGTACCAAAACTTACCTGTATTATTGAGCTATTTTACACAAAGAATTAGTATTGTAAAATCATTGACACTGACGAAGGCTATTTGTTAAGCCGAAATATTTGCCAACACGATTTTATAACATCATCTTCGTATATAACCATCTTATATTAGTATCGTTGTGCAAATCTTTAGACTTATATATATATATATATATACATATTGCATATTGAATATTATAAAAATTACATGACTTTCCGTGAACGGTATGCAATAAGATACATTTCTTAAGTTTTGAACGAATTTTTAAGATTTTATAGCAGATGTGTGCGTCCCTTGTTCAATATAAGTCGAAGGACTTCTGGATTTTTGCCAAATTTTGTTTAGATCTCCTGAAATACCAGAACCATCAAGATCGTGTCGATGCTTATATCTCCTGTAATACCATCGAAATCATATCTCAAGGTAATTATTGTGAAATCTTGAAAAAAAAATATCTAATTTCGATATCAACATTTTACGTATAATACCTGAAAAAATATATCCGTTTTTGTTTTTCTGCTTGTGCATAATAATAACTGAAATAAGGGGGGTACAAGCCTTAGATAACAAAAAAAAATTTAATTCACATTGGTTATAGACGACGGGCATCGTGGAGTTACAGTACTTATGTAAGTCCTTAGATCAGATAAGCCAAAATAAATAAACGTTGAAGAGTTCAAATGTACGTAATACAGATACTGGTCGTGAAGGACTAATTGAAATAGATTTTTTTTCAGGAATTTCGGAAGTGGAGTTAATAATGCAGATGCCATAAATCAATTGAATAGTCATCCCGGAGGCATAAACGTATCAAACTAAATAGGAATAATTTATGAGACAATCTGAAATTAGAAAAAAAATCATTAACATTTTATCGAAAACAAACAAAATTTAAATTAAAAATGTTATTATATAGTAGGAGATGCATTTGCATAGTTTTTACTCAGGAAAGTTAATTTAACTTTAATTTCATTCGTTTATTGTGCATCAAATTGATTTTGAAATCTTATAAATTGTTGGCATTTGTGCTTTTAAAAAATCAATCACCTTGACCCTTTAACCTCATGATGTAAGAAAGTAACAATGTTTTCGTACTCTCGTGTATAGCTCACATCGAAACAAAATATATTGCTTTACATAAATCAGGTTTCTTTTAGAGAGTCATTTTCTTTACTGGGGTACCGGTTTAAAGTGATTTCGTAGGTATTGATAAACCACGAATTAAGATAATAATTTTCCTATAGGATGTCAGCAAAATTTGATAAAAACGATATAAAGTATCAACGAAAATACAATTGTTCCTCGATCGACGAAAATAAGCACCCACGAAAATAAATTAATTAATCTACAGTTTTTGAACGAGTTCATCTGAATATTTTTCTTTTTCCTTTATTTGACTTTCCAAACTTTGGTACCAAGCTCACACGGTTATTCTGCATTTTACATGTTGTAATGTACTATTATATTTTTTATTTATGTATTTCTCTGTACTGTATTCCTGTCACGTAGTGTTGTCATTTTAGCTGTATTCCTAACATTGCCATATAAGCGGGAGGTTTGGCTATCCATAAAACCAGGTTCAACCCACCAGTTTTTTCTTAAAATGTCCAGTACCAAATCAGGAATAAGGCAATTGTTATCACACAGTCCGTTTCTATGTATGTTGGCGTTTGCTTTTGTTGTAGTTCAGTGTTTCTGTTGTTCCGTTGTTTTCCTCTTATAGTTGATGTGTTTCCCTCGGTTTTAGTTTGTTACCCGGATTTGTTTTTGCGTAATCGAATTATGACTATTTAACAGCGGTATACTACTGTTGCCTTTATTTATATCAGACAAACATGATATGTGAAAAGCGCTGAAATCTTTATGATACATCCAATTATTCAAATATTGGTGTAATTTCTTCATATTTTGTTTACTTAGTATTCAATGTTTCTCTCAAAATGAAGTCAGAATATTTCATCCACATGCATTAGTTTCTTAGAATGGTGTAAAGTGGGTATAATTATACTCGTATACTAGTACGTGCATCACCAAACTGCAAAAAATGTCAACTACAGATATAGATAAAAAAAAAAGGCAACAGTAGTATACCGCTAATATAAAAGATATTTAAATCAATGGAAAAGACAGTACTCTACTTTTAAAGTATAGATATATTAGCATTATTGGAATTTTTTTCTCCTTTTATAATTTAATCATTTTTATCAGTTACACTTATATAAATAAAAAGTCAAACATTTGTTAGACTTGAGTAGGAAATGTCAACATCAAGCTTATTGATAACAGGATGATAATTCTAAATTAATAAATCCAGTAAATTCTCAAACATCAATTATTGAAGTCCAATAATACATCTAAAGCATCCCATTATGTGAAACAAATTATCAAGTGTTAACATATTTTTATATATTGCTGTTAAGCAATTAAAGTAAATATTTGACAGATTAGATACCATGAAACGTCAAAATAATTGATTAAAATGGATTGATTTCTCTGGCTATAACATTGGAAATGTAAGAATTCGATACATATTAACGCTTATTTATCAAAACAGGACAAATCAAAACAAACATCACAAAAGAATATGAATTAAAGTACTTCTGATGTAGGTTGCAACTCCAAAAACAGAAAAAAAGCTAGAGGTACAAACAAACCCCTGTATTTAAAAAATAAACACGGAAAATAGAAAGACATGAATTACTAATTTTAAATTTCATTGGGAAAAAAAAATCCAAAAAGTTGTAAATTCACACCTCATCCAAAAAGAACCACAAATCATTCCTACTTGTTCTGTTTAATAGATTTCACTTTGCAACTTGTAGGAATGTCACATACTGCCAATTGGAATTTGATAAAAGTGTCAATGTCTGATTACTGTATCACATTTGTCTCGATATTGGCAAAGATAACAGTTTTCCAGGCTGCAAAATCTAAAGCATATTTGAGTTAATTACATTGAAGAATGACCTGGATATACCAAAGATAAACAAAATAATGACGAAAATGTCATTCTTATGATAAGTAATCTTTACTTGTTCGTTGTGCATTAATCAAACTCGATGGGAAAAGTACATATAATTCGCGAATGTTTATACGTAATCAGACACGTTTTGTCAAATATATTTATAGAAACCACTTAACTTCCTCGTTCTTTGGAAATCAAGATGCGAAAACATGACTACCTTATGTTATGGCACACCAGATTATAACATGAAAAGATGGATGTCAAGTCCTAACGTCAATCATATCAATTGAAGGATAAAACATCAATGTTTCGTGCTATTCAATTGAGGTTATGCTGTATTTCCTATTTTCTCCCTTGTTTTCTTGTCTTACAGCGTCTTCAATTGCGTCATATAAATTTTTCTTTTTGTTGTGATTTCTAGAGAGAAAAACAGTATCGGCTTCAACTTGGTCTCTGTACGGATTCAACGATACATATCTTTCAACATAATGAATCTGTCCTGGTCTAGATGATTTTTTCCGAATATTTTGTTTCTTTTTGTTTAAATTTCTACCAAATTTGGATTTAACTAAGATATTTCTTGATTTATTTTCTGTTGGACTTGTATCATCAGTTTGACAGGCCATATCTACCAAGCAAACTTTGGGAAAAGACGTATAAACTGAATGACCGGATTCTGATGACGTATACACAATTTGTTTATTGTCAATTGACTCGTTTCGCGACGATAGAGATATCGGTATAGGCGTTTCTCTTTCGTTAACGGTGCTAACTCTTGTCGACACAGTACAAAGTGATGGGTATGAATATGTGCTAGTATCTGTAGCTACATGTGATTCCGACGTAGGAGTTGTTTCGGCATTTTCAACAGTTTCATCACGATGAGGTAGTGGTGTTGACATCGCAGAATGAATTTCATCTTCATATTCGACGTCAACAAAGGTTACTTTTGAATCTATGCTACTCTGTGCATTCAAACTACTATGTTCTTTCACTGATTTACTTTCATCTTTTTGAAACACTCTAATTTTGGGTTCCTGCTTATGTGTTTGTGCAACAGTAGTTGCTTGAGCTTCTGACGAGTTTGATGTTTGACTTTCCATTGTATCCATTGCATTATCTGTTGCATTCCTTTTGTTATTCCTGTTCTGGATTCGTTCTTTTAATTTTCGGAAGGGTTGATTTTCACGAACATAATGTTTACACTTATAACAACAATATATGACCGCACATCCGCCGTATATAAAAACCATACAAGGAAATACAATAAACATCGCAATATTGTTTGGGTCGTCAAGAAATCCCTCGTTGTCTGTTGAACGTTTATGCCTCCCTGATCTCTTTGTTTGTGAGTATTTTTCAGACTGACCAATAATTGTTTTAGATGCTTGATCAAATGGGTGATTTTTTTCTCCTCTCGGGTGTGAAATTTGATCATTGTTGAAACGTTTCCGGATGAATTCGACATGCTTGTACGCATTAATTACTAGTCGCAGATTATTGTTGTTTTCGATCTTCTTCATTGTTGAGTCTGTAATCTGGAGAAAATTTGAAGAACTGTTTGTTAAAACTTGTTGCATTTTGGAGGAATCGATTACCACAGAACGGCTACTGTTAAAATCTAAAAAGAAAGCATGACTATTTTAATCACCAAGACAAAAGAAATAGACCTGTTGGCTATATAACAAAAATGTAAAAAAATAATTTTATTGCAAACATTTCTTAAATCTAACTTTACACACAGTGAAATATAACATTACTCGCAGATAAATTAATCCTTTTTACATTCAATGTACATGTGTAAACTCGTAAGTGGCTAAGAAAAAGCAACAATGTGAATATATCTACAATTTCATCTGTTTGGATGATTGAGACAACGATGTCATGAAAAGTGATCCATGTTATACTTAATAGGGTGAACAAAAACAAATGTATTTAACTGGACATAGAATAATAATCATTTCATTGCGTATAAGGTATAGCGGTGAACGATTCTCAATTTAGGCAACAGTTAACCGATGTTCAAATCACATTCAAGGGGCATTAGCTACGATTTAGACAAAAAATATAGATATTATTCTTTTAGTTACAAGTATAAATAAAAACGGAATTTTGAAATGCTATTCTCAGTCAGTTTGGCTCGAATTTGTAAAAATAAGTACAAAGCGTTGCTGATGATTTATTGACTTGTAAGTCAATAATTCAACCTATGTGAATCCGTATTCATGTGACCTTCAATTTAACCCCTTAGCTGGAGATGGTTTACGCCTAATACATGCGTGTTTAACTATGTAAAGAAAAAAAGAGTGTCAACATTCAAAGTGAAACAAGGTTGAACCATTTCGTTGACTGATTCGACTCACCCAAATATGTTATATGACCGTCGTCAGTCTTTGGATGTCATCTCGATGGTAAATTAGATGTCGTCTGGACTGAAATACACTCGAAATGATACATATTATCGAGCCCATGCATTGTTAATTGTTTATTTTAGACTTTTTGTGATTTGTATAAACGTTTTAGTATATTATAAATCAAATATGAGAATTTGAGTAAAATCGATGAACATGAATTTGACAGCTAATGCCCCTTTAAGCAAATTTAAAATATAAAAATTAAGGTTACAAACAAAAACTCTGGGAATCGCATGATGTCCAAAATGACAAGGACAGCATGGAAAAGCTTCTCCAACTTCTAAGAAACATGTTTTTCTATGAAAGAATTATTAGATTTTTTGTCAATATATTTACGAAAGACGAGCTAAATTTAAAGCCGTTATGATTCAAAAAAAAGACCGGTTTATTTGCTCTACCTTGGTAGAGGTGTGTAAGTTTGATATTACTTAAACATTGTATCAATGTAAGCAGTACCGTTTCCACAGAGGTATATGGTTTATGTTGTTGTGAAAGCAATATTTATTAAAGACATACAAAAATAAAAAGAAAACAAAAATAGGTAAACCGCTTGCAACTGCTTCACATGTCAACACTCAAGGAACGGATATACAGTCTAGCGAGTCTTGATTAACAATAGTAGCAATTTTCATCAATTATTTACATCGGATGTATTGATATAGTCATTGAAGATGAAAATTGTCTAAGATTTTTGTAGGTTTTTGATTGAGATATTGATTGAGTAATTATTCCTGCAGTCTGTCATCAATTGAAATTTTTATCTGTTACTGATAGGCTTATTTAGTGATATTAGTTTTCATTACGTCGAGTTTGATAGAATAAACATACATTGCTTGTCAACATGACATTACGAACATGTTTGCAAAATTAAAGTTCACCAAAAGTACGTTCAAATCATCAAACATCGATGATTTGTTTTGATTGTGAGTATTTGCTATTGTATTGGACCTAATGAATACTGAAAATTAACAATGAACTATCAACTGTTTCATGATTTCCCTACACTAAATTTAAAACTCAACAAAACTATTATTTTTTCAGTTTATCCATTCCTTATGAAGATATATTCCCTTTATTTTAATAATCGCAATGAACATTGGATACGTTTAAATTTTAGGTTTTGAATTGGTAAGTAGATAAAACGCATTGACTAGCTGTTAAACAAAGTTATAGATCTGTTTTGATAACTCCCTCAATGTATAACTGCTGGGAGAGTGAGGAGCGAAACATATTTATATATCAACCAAAATGAATGAGATTTGATAAAGTTTTAATGCTAACTGTTGAAAGAAAAATTCAAAATTGTCTTACTATTTCGGATGACATACACTTTATCTGGAGCTTCAGATGGTTTGTCTGGCGTTTATATGCAGTCGGGATTGAATCTTTTTAGATTAAACAAGACATTCATACCCACTTATTTTTTTACGGAAAGACTGTATTGTTATCTGCAAAAAACATTTATTTACAGAAGGATTTGCTAACAACAAAAGGCTTCTTCGGAAAATCGTTTAAAAGATGAATACAAATCGATGGTTATTGAATAGATGTCAACAGTTCTGCAATTTTCTATGTCAAACTTAACCGACTTAACCTATCGATTTCAATACACCTTTTGAAGACCATGCAGAGATAAAATCGTTTCAATGATTTTTATATGTGTTCTTGTTAACATACATTATTTGATATTGCGTAAAGTACAAACCGAAAAGAAACTTCAAAACGGGCAAAACATAACTAATGCAATATATTGAAAGAAGTCCTTGAGTACACGAAAATATGATAACAAAAACACAACGAACCGAAGTTATATTTTGTATTGCGGTTTAAAAACGATATTCAACACCTTACTTTAATGATAGCATTATTAATGTGACAAAACAGATTTGGAAATATCCTTTGAATCCAAATATACTTTTTGTCAAAAGGTTATAAATAAACTGTTGTCTTTCCGGAGCTCCTGAGATCACCCCCGGTTTTAGTCTTTATTCTTATATATTATTTTTTGTGGACTGTTGTCTGTCTTTTACGTGTTTTTCATTTTTTACGATGGCATTGTTAGTTTATTTTCTATTTAGGAGTTTGAATATCCCTTTGGCCTCTCTCTCCTCTCTTTTGTAAATATATAATCACGCAATACTCTCTGATCTTTATATTTTCTTAAAATATTGTGATGTGTAATTCTTTTGTTTAATTATTTATGTATTTGTATAAAATTTCTGTCGTGTCGAAACAAAACTACTAGTGACATGGAATATTTGTCAATGAGGGAGAAATAAGAATATTTTCTCTACAGAGGGAGAGACTTCACCTCCCTGTCAGAAACTGGTCTTCAGAAGGCGATTTCAAATATTGGGATGCTTCCGCTGATATATGAAGAGTTGACAGATTTGCAATTGGATTTCAGCTGAAGTCATCACCCGAAAGTTGTACAGACGCCATCATGATATGGTTAGCTGTTAAGGTCTATGTCATAGATGACCACTGATATGTTTTAATTGTCAAAAACACAATCATGTACTCTTTTCTTCATGGGTTACATCACCGAAAGAGATTCCAAACCTAATTGGTTCTTACTATGAGTAACACGACGGGTTCAAATAGTTCTGCTAACCCTGCCAGACCACCTGAAATCAATCTTAGTTTGTTCAAGGTTTTGTTTAATTTAGTTTTATTTTTCTATGTAGGGTTTTTTGGAACTTATTTGTCTTTCTTCATCTTTTTTTTTTTTGTCGTGGCGCTGTCAGTTTCTCTCTTTGAAAGTCCCATTGGTATTTTCATCCTCATTTTTTCACATAAAAATGGAATTTATTTCTTGAATAGAGAAAATGGGTACTTTCTTTTATATCAAACTCAGTTTGTGTCGACTAGTGTTCTCATAATATCCAAAAATTCTTTTCAGATTAAAAGAAATATAGTATATGACATGACGCAGAGGTTTTAGCTTTGAAGACATAACACAACTGTGACGAAAATTTGCATTTAAATTTAAATAATATGATTTTTAATTTGTACTTCACAATTGAATAAATATTTAGAGTCAACATTATAGAGCGGATATATGTCTAGGTGCGAAAACAACTAGTCTGATTTCTGTCCGATTTTTTTTTTAGTGAGGAGGTGTTTTCAAATAGTTTATTTTTTAAAATCTAATCTGCATTATTTCATTGATATGATTACAACATTTGAAACATACGTCGATGAAACTGACACCAACAACACAAGTCAAGAAAAAAAAAGATCAACGCGATCCTCAACGATTTACAATCACTAGGACAATATGACAATCTTTAAATTTCCCCGGGAAAAAGACAAGTCGTGATTTATTGAACACTGAATACAGTTACGAAAAATAAAAGTTGGGACAATAAAACAATTCCCCGGCAAGGGCGGTTCTAAACTAGTATAGAGTACAGCCTTTATCACTTTAGAAAACCAGCTGTACCAAGTCAGGAATATGACAGTTGTTTTCTATTCGTTTGATGTGTTTGAGCTTGTAATTTGCCATTTTATAAGGGACTTTCCGATTTGAATTTTCCTTGGAGTTATGTATTTTTGTTATTTTACTTTTTAATATGAGAAAAATAACATAGTTCAATACGCAAGGTAAAAATTGAATCAAATCATTTTTCACTTTTTTTAACAAGATATTAAAAATTTCAATTTGAATTCAAATGAAATAGTAAGTTTGCTTTCATTAATGTACTCTAGTTGAATCTATTCGCAACCTTTTGGATGATATTGTTATTAAACAATTTCGAAACTATAAAGATTTGTTTTGTTGTTTATATATGGATGTCATGGCATATTCGATTCTTTTGATTGACTTCAGGAAGGATATATTAGGCCTTCATTTGCATATCTTTACACAAAACATATTCTTCCGAAAGAGATTATGGAAATCATACACGACTTTGCGTGATACTGTTTTTAGTAAAATCTATTCTTCTAAACATTATTTTTGTCTGATAATATATAATACATCTCTGTAATATGGACATCGATCGTTACCCATTTTTAGATTTTATCACATTTAGAATTACAAAAAAAATATGCTTAGTGAATATCAATCAACTTATGAATAAATGTAAAAAATTAAATCGAACAATATACAAATAAATCAATCAATTAACTAACGTGGGATTAACATAAGACAAAAAATACAAAAATCATGTTCAATAAATAAC